TTTTATTTTTCTTTTCAATTTTTTACATTTAAAAAATCAAAAGAATTTGCAAAATTTCCTGGGATGGTAGGCATAGCTATTACTCAGTCTTATCTAGTACATTAATATTGATTTTGAATTTTTTTATGATATTAGTTAGATATTGATAAGTAGGCAAGCTAGCATTTAACTTTCCTGAAATAATGAAAGAGATGTTGTTTCTTTCAATAATGTATACCTTGTTATATACAAATCAAAATAAAGAAATGATGTTTACCTATTTGGAAAACCCTCCAAAAAATAGTTTATTAATTAGAAATAATTAATAAATAATATTAATCTTATCATAAAAAAGCATAATATTAATATAATTATCAATTAATTATATTAATAAAAATGTTTTATATCTGAAACCTGTTTGCAAGCTAAAAAATTTAAAAGGTATTTAAAATAGATTATAAAAAATCAATTTTAAAAGTTATAAATAAAAATTATTTAGTTTATGTTTTTATTATTTAAGTATTGATAAAATTATTTTTATTAAATTTAAAATTCAAATTATATTTAATTCATAATACAAATGTTTTTTACAATTACTAAAAAATTATATGCAAATATATTGTAGTTAATATCTTTTAAATATTATTTGATTTATTTCGATGCTACTGTATTTATTTAAAATATTTTTTATTTTGAAAATTTAAAATTCTCAAATAAAATTTAAGCATGAACATCTCTATAATTAATTACAAATTCCAAAAAAATTTTATGTTTAATAATTAAATAAAAAAATTTCTTGACCTAAAATAGTGAAGATATTTTTATTTTAAAATATTAACTATTTAAAATTTGAAATAGACAAGTAAACCTTAATCTATAAAGGTAACTTGCATATATTAAAGCTCGATTCACGATTACACTTAAATAACATTAATAAGAGAATAAATATTCGAGTCAAAACTTTTCTAATTAAAAACACCATTACAGACGGTTGATACAATATATTTTTACTCAGTTCATTGTGTTTGACTGAAAAATTTATTTACAAATTCATGTTTGATCTTTTATAATTTGGTTGTGTCCCTCTTTCTTTTATGACCTTGATGCTAAATGGCGGTATTTCTTGTCCTGTATCCTTAGCCTAATATATATGTGTGTAAGATACCCGGTTCAACTATATTTATCCAATGGAGTCAAATAAAATGTCATTGCTTACCACACAACGTTTGACGAACCAGAAATTCCTCATCAATGAGTATCTCAAGTTTTTGTTCCCGATGCCCAATTTGATTAGGTCGTCGTGATTCATCTCAACAATGTCTTGCCATCTTTTACCAAGAAAAAGTGGTACTAAAGATTTCATTCCGATGCTTTCAAACCAGGCAGGAATATCTATAGGGAGTTAAGCAAGTTTATATTAAAAGAAATATAGCCCACGAATGAATGATGAGTAAATAACTAAGTAGATAAATAAATTAAAAGTATAATATTACTTTCTAATAATGCATAATCAGGTGGCGGGATAATGTCTCCTTCAATTCTTCTCTTATCAGCCTGCATTTAAATATTAAGGCTATAACTGTAATCCAACATCAAAACACTAGATTCTCATAGTTTATGTATATTAATACCAATGCAGCTCGGATATCATCAAAATATCTTCTTAAGGCATGTCTATCGCCTTTGTTCCTAATACCTAAAGCTTCAAGATCTTCATACATCATTTCTATGATTTCTTGGTATTGTCTATTTGCAAAATTGGGTGCGTAATTTCCAAATCCAACACTCTCCAGCCAAGCAGGGAAATCTAAGAATCATTGTGCCAAAAAAAATTAGTCAACAATCAAAACGATGAACCACGGATTTATGACATAATTTACCTTTTAATAGTTCAAAATTAATTGGAGATACACCTCCATTTTCCTGTAACATGTACATAGCAATGAAGCTTGTTAATAATGTCAATACCAAAATCGTAAAGCTCTTAAATCATCTATAATTAAAATAAAATAGCTCATTGGTGGAAAGTTATTTTTCTTTTCTTTCATTCTCCTTTTTAAGATCGCAATGATAAGTTCAATGCTTACCAGTGCTTTTCGAGCATAATTGAGATACCTTCTTAAAGTATGTCTATCATATGCACTATCTATACCTATATCTTCCATATCTTCATATCTCATATGAATGATTCTTTTCCAACTTTTACCTTCGAATTTAGGTGCGTGCTTCCCTAGCCCAATACCATCAAGCCATTTTGAAAAATCTAAAGGTAGCAATAAAGTCGTGAACAGATTAAAACAAAAACCACATTCTTTAAATTGAATGAAACTCACCTTCCAATAATTCCGTGTTAAGATTTTCAATATAATTTTTTCGAATATAGTCAAAGGATATAGCAACTGGCTTACTTTCATTAGGTTTTATCTCATCTGGAAGGTTAGAGAAAAAACGACTACTTGGATAGATGATCGTATTTTGTGAGTTAATTAATCGAGAAATATTTTTTAGTCTTAAGTTAGTTGTTCTGATGCCATTTGTTTTAAAAGCAGCTAGGGTTTTGAGAGCGTAACGAGGTATCATTTTTTAAGCGTAATTTAGATAATCACTGATTTTGATAAAAAAAAGTACTGGTTTTTACCGTTACACCGTAAGGTAAAAACTTTAAATACCTTCACGTGATATAATATGAAGATACAGTCTAACCTCGTTATACTGAATAACTAAGTAAAAACCCACTATACTGAAGGTAAGCACAGAAACGTCTATAACAGTAATATCCAATTTACTAATTGAATCTCATTATATCAAATTTCTTGAAATTTTTGCTGTCTGGTTCCAATCTCTTCGTTATAACAAGGTTGGATTGTATTTAGTTTTATAGTTTTAAAAATATGTGTGTCAATATTTTAATAAAAGAACTTTAAATATCTTTTTTATTACTTAAATAAGTTCTTGAAATTTTTGAGTTTCAATTATATTTTAATTAAGTGATATTATTATATTAATAATATAATTATTTTTTTTTAATATTTTATAATATTAATTTTATTAAAACTAAAAAAAAATAAACTATCGATAGATATTTTTTTGCAATTTAAGTTGTATTTCTATTAAAACAATAAATAAATAATAATATTTTTTTTAAAAAATATACAATTAATTTGTAAAAATTCTATATATTAAATTATTTTTTAATTCAATTAATTTCTTTTTATAAACTAGTATTATAAATATAATGAATTTTTAAAACACTATTATTACTTTTTTTACAATATTTATTTCTAAATAACCAATTTTTAAAAAAATAATATCAAAAAAAAAAATTATAAAAACATTAATTAAAATTTATATAATAAATAAACAAGTCTCAATTTATAGATAAAGTTTATATGTTAGTTATTAAGAAATATTTTTTTAGAATTAATAAATTCAAATATAGATTATAAATTTTAATATTTATTAAATTTGATATATACTTTTTTTTTAATTTGATATCAATTAAAAATAGTATAGCATAAATACAAAAATGGATAAATATTCTGAAATAAAATTTGATTATAAATTAATTATTAAATAAAATAATAATTATTTTATAATATATATTGTATTTTAATTTTTAGATAAATTGGTAATATTATTTTATTTTTATAAAATATTGCTTTATATGATACTTTTTTAAAATAAAATTTGCATAACTTATAATTTTATTGATCAAACTGTTGATTTTATTTGAATTTTTTGAAACATTGGTTAATAAAATGGTATTTTAAAATCAAACTCAAAGTGCTTATTATGAAATATCTTATTCCTATTCTTTAATATTATAATAATAAATATTTTTAAATAATTTTCTAAATATATAAAATTTTTATAATATATTTATTATAAAAGGGTCAATATTTATAATTATATAATCTATTTATTATTGCTGTTATAAATTTATATATTATTATTTGCAAAAATAAATTAACAGTTAATAAAAAATAATTTTGGACAATATCTTGCTATAAAAGAAAAAACAAATTTTATATTCAAAGAATTTTTATTAATTTTGATAAATTTTCATTATCTGATTTGAAAATTTGTTTTTATTAAAAATTGCATGTCACAATATAATAGTTTTGTTAAAATTCTTGAATTTTTTGCCATATATAGAATTCATTATAATGCATCTGTTTAAATAATCTATTGAATTTAATTTATATAATAAAATAAATGTTTAATTGTTGAATAAATTTTAAAATATTTAATAAACCTAATTCAAAACAAATTAAACAATATTAATATTGTTTGTCAAACACTAGTTTTATAAATGATACATAATTGAAATGAAATTCAAAAACTAAGAAATCTTTCGTATTGTAACAGGGAGAAATGGAACGCGATAACAGTCACGTGATCGATCTACGTCGGCTGTAATAATTAGGTAATAAAGGAGGGACGAAAGAATTGTTAAGAAAGAATTATGTCATCTAGCTTTAGCCTTGTCATTGTACTATCGCCTATTATTCTATGTCTAAGCCGCCATAGCAAGATGTAAAGAAAGAGAAGTATAAATGACATGTAAAATGTAAGAGATAGAGACAAGTAGAGAACAGTTAGATAAGAAAATTAATAAAGACTCGGTCTCTGCTAGAGTTGGCGACAGACTCGCCGTTACACTGTTACAGTATAAATATAACTCATAAGCGTAATAACTGTATATCTACATTATGTTTATTGATGTATAAATATACAGTATACACATTGATAGGTGGTTTGATTATTTGAGTTATTGTATATTCTTTATTTTAATTATGATTACAGATGGTAAGAATATTTCATTAAATAAAAGTTTAATATGTAATAACTTTTACGTATAAAAAAATTTCGGATTTTTATGAACCTTCCCGTGTATCAGATTTCTTTTATCGAGGCACGAAACTTTGATGATCGTAATTATTTTCAATTGATGTTTCGGCATCAACAAATACAGTATAGACTATTTGTGCACATTTTCTTATCGAGAGTCTAATCTCCTCTTCGACCGTCGATTCTTAAAATTAGACGTCGTTTTTTTATCAAATAATAAATAAATCCACAAACGCCTATAAGTGCAAGTATTGCTAATGGAGTAGCTATGCCAATTATCAATTTTTTATTATCATCATTGGACCTCAAGTCTATAGTGGTGGAGGGTATTGATGTTTCCGTTGTTTGTGTTGAAGATGGTGAAATAAAAGTATCTGTCCAAGAATAATTTTCGGTATTAAGAATATATAATTTGCTGTTATAACTAGAATAGTTTGCAAATCCTTGTGGATTTGGTATATAACCTGGTGTTAAGAACATTAGTTGTTAATTAAGACCCCGTGTAATTTACTGCAAATAAAGAATGCATTACCAAATGAAATTATCATATATTCTCCGAATAAATCAGCCGAATGATAAGATAAAGGTGGAGGAGTAAGGAGACCGGTTGAAACGGTTGGAATATACCAATTGAAGGGTGACGAAGTTGTATCCAATACCACGAGATTTGGTGTAACCGAATTATTGTTGTTTTCTCCACCATAAACAATAATCCGAAAATTCTTAGCTTTTATATAAAGTGTTTTTTAATGCATTTTAAACATATCCGTGTAGAATTATCAGGGGGGAAAGCCGTTAAAAGCTACATACTTAATATGGCACTGTGAAATGCACGTGCTCCTGGTATAACTCCGGTTGTGTTCTTTATTTTAAACAGAACTATGTGAATAGAAACATTTAAAAATACGCTACATATTATAAATTTTTTCTCGTACCATTGTAGACCAACTCAAAGCCTTGGTATCAAACAACCAAATCTAAGTATATAAATAAACACAATATTTGTTAGCATGATGTAGCTACGTGACGATAAGAGATAAAATGTCTGTAACAATATTTATTACTTGTACTAAGCTTGAAATTCTAAAAATATTGTTTCCAAGATCTTCTCTTCCTCCAATATAAGCAATGACACCATTTGATAATAGAGTTGCTGTGTAATCTACTTTCCGAGGCGGGAAACTTGAAGTCGGGCTAATAGTTGTCCAAGCGCTTTTTTCGATGTTGAGAATAACCATGTCGTTATACATCACACCTAGAAAGGATGTACTATTAGTTACCATTATCCCTCCAAAAATGTATGCATTCCCCGTTCCATCAGTCACTGCTTTCATTTCTAAACGTTGAGCTAGAGTATTATTGCCACTTATATTGGGTTTTGTCCACTTCTTATCGTTTGAATTAAACATAAACACGGTCGTATTTAAATCCGGTTCACCAGTAACAATATTTTGCATGTATCCACCAATCAAATAAAAGGAAGAATTATCAACAATTGCCGTGGTAGCAAGGAAAAAAGAAACTGGCGCATCTACATCCGATACCCAAGGTGGGGAATTGATGTTAAATGAAGCAGATAGATCTAGGTAAAAAAGGTCATTATAACCTTGGCTAAGATTTTTCCCTCCTCCACCAGAATAATAAATTCTGGTGCCAAGTATTGTAGATGTTTGGCTAATCCTCATATTTGGTACAAAGCAGATGGCCTCGTGTATAACAATAAAAATTAAAAAAGTAAAGGATATTATATGTTTCATACTTAAAATTCACAAAAATTATTATCAAAGAAATTGTTTTAGAAAAAAAGAAACACTTGAGAATGTGTTGAAATTCAATATCTCGGTAATACAAAATTTGCTACAAAACTACCGGAAAACAAAATTTTACCTTGGCTTCCAACTTAGGATAAATTAATTTAATTTAGCTGCGCCTAATAAGAGTTTTTATATATTCACCCACAAATTTTCGTTGTACAGTTTAACTTATAAATGTAGTATTTATTTCTGATAAACAAATTGTTCAATAATTTTCTATTAGAAACCAATGCATACTGCTATTTTAGATCATAGGGACAACGTTCTCCGTGCGATATCTGTGTTTGGAATGTATGCTGCTGTATGCTGTAGCTAGTGGAACAAATTATTGATCTACAGTACATTTTGACATTAATTTAAATCATAGTTTTGATAGTATTGTTTTTTATAAGTACTGTATATATGGTCTTAGTGTTTTTGCGTTTATGATATTCTCATAAATTAAAATTTTTTAACAGGATTGTGATTAATTTATAGTTAACGAATATTTGTAAACTAATAAAATTTTTTTGATTTGTTCATTATGATTAAAGTTGTAAAAAAAATTTATTGAAGAAATAAAAGGAGCTATAAAACTCATTTACAGGTTTTTCTTTATTGCTACGATAAAATTTGTCAGCGAAAAATATAACTACCTCTTATACGACAATCATTCAAAATATTATATAAAATGTATTAAACTGGTACCATTAAAAATGAAAATTGATCTGGTTGTTCAAATATTTTCAATTATGAAAATAAGAACAAACTTCAAAAAATTATTTTAAAAAACACTCAATCTGCTATCTTACCTTTAAGGAATTGCTCAACAAATTAGATTTAACTAATGAACCAGTTATTTGGAAAGCTAAGAAAAATATAAAAATCAATTCATATTTGACAGAAATCAAACCATTTATTAATTCAACAGTAAAATTTAAAAAATAAAATGGTATAAATGGAAATTAATTATTGAAGTAAAGTTTTAAGAATGATTTTGAAGCTTCAATAAAAATATAAAAATAGAATCTAAAAAATTAATTTGATAAAAAGTTGATAATAAATAGTTATTGGATGTTATTACAAAAAAATAATAATTGATAATATGGCTTAAAATTTGCAAAATATTAATCACATATTACAGAGGTTGCCTAAAGGGTAATTAATCCTCAATTTTATTATTTATTATTTATTTATTTATTTATGATTAATTAATTATTTATTTATTTATGATTAATTAATTATTTATTTATTTATGATTAATTAATTATTTAATTATTTATGATTAATTAATTATTTATTTATTTATGATCAATTAATTATTTATTTATGATCAATTATTTATTTATTTATGATTAATTAATTATTTATTTATTTATGATTAATTATTTCTTTATTTCTTTATGATTAATTATTTCTTTTATTTCTTTATAATCAATTGTTATTTTTATTTCTTGTGTTTTCTTTTGTTGTCATAAAATATAAAAATAATATAATAAAATATAAAAAAGAAAAAAGATATAAAAAAATATTTGTTAAATAAAATCACCATATTTATTACATTGTTTTTAGCCAATAAAATTTTTTCAATTCCTTTAAACTTGCAAAATATATACCTTCTTTCTTTTATTATTTATTAATTAAAATTGAAACCCTTATTAAAAGTATTATGGAATCAATAATTATTTATAATTGTTTTTAAATTCTAATCCATGATATATAAATATTTAATAATTTTTATATTTGATATAATAATATCAATTAGATAATAATTTACTAATTTATCATATATAATTAGTATTATTATATCAAACATAAAAAAGTACCTGGTTATATATCAATATATTAAATTTTACAATTAAATATAAAAATTATTGATATGAAATATATAATAACAAATTTATATAATAATTATTAGTATTTTTTATAAAATAAATAAAAAACAACAATTAAATGAATTTATATTTCAAAAAATTAGTACAAAAAATTGAATACTGTAAATAAGTAAAAAAAATTATATAATAAGAATATATAATATCTTTATTTAATTAAAATATAATTGAAACTTATAGAACTTTTATAATTTTTATTATATATATAAGAAAAAACTTTATAAGAAAAAATAATAATAAAAGATATATCTTCTTAAAAAATTCTAGCTTATTATTTAATACTTTTATTTATTTTATACTATATTTATAAAAACAGACTAATTATACTTTTACAAACAAATATATAATTGAAATAATCATAAATAAACAAAAAATAATAATGTTTATACGTATTTAAATTTTATCAAAAGTATATAAAAAGAATATATATTATCATCTTTAATTAATTAAATTAATTTATTGAATATATATCTTTTATAATATTTTAATAAAATAAAAATATTTAATTTTTTAAATAAAATTATTTTTTAAAACACTTAATAGAAAAATAAAAAAATTTAAAAAAATTACTTGGAGCTATAATAATTAAAAAATAAGAAATTATAATATATTGTATATTTCAATATAATATTATTTATATCTTAAACTATATTTTTTATAATATAAATAACTTATTAAAATTTTAAATATGTAAACAAATTTGTTTACATTATAATTTAAAGGATATATATATATATATTTTGAAGGAATAAACAATTCTCACATATTATCTTTATTTATAATTTTAGACTTGCAAAATACAAGATTTATAATTCAATAATAAAATATATATTTCTCTTTGTTAGGAAGAGTTAAATGCCAGGCTCAAAAATTGACTCTTTTGCCTAAGCTTATTGGTATCATTCAAGAATATAAGAAAAAAATTTAAACCCTATATTATGCCTTAAATGATGTCTAGCTATCTAGAGAAATTTGATATCTAATTATATAAAGGCGCTGTAGTCACTATATACAGGTTGGCCTTCAAGTTATAACTAGGATTGGCATGTTTGCTTTTCAAATGTGGTTTAATATATAACAAACCAAATGTGTTTCATCCTATAATTTATCTGAATAACTTGTTCAATTAGTTAAGTGGTTGCTACTCTGGCTAAGATATTTAGTGAAGATTAGTCTTTCATCTTATTACCTAGTATTTGATTTTCTTTACTCTTTTAGAATTGTAACAGATTACAGGTTATCCAAGTCTGCAGCAGTTGCCTATACCTGTGGCAAGTAGAAAAGAGGACAATTACTCTTTATAAAAATCTTTACACATGTAGCCACACTATTTAAGTATTTGAATAGAATTCAATACAAGTATAAGATAGGGAAAGATAAAGAAGAAGTGTTTGAATATGTAGCAGTAATTATTAAGAAAAGTTGTTAAATGTAATGAAGTTGAAGTTTCTTATAGATATTGTTACCTAGTATTGCACAATAGACTTACATTGTTAAAAAGTAAATGAGAAACTTGCATTGTAATCACCACCTTTGTTTGCAAAGTAACTAGAATCTCTGATTATTATGTATCATCTTATTAGATTTTTTAATTACCAGCATAATACTTGCAACTTATTGCTAGCTATATTGACATTGGCTATCATATTGCTTTGAATACTGTAGGTAAAGATAAGTCCCTAAATTAAAGGCAAGGATATAATTCAAATGTCCCTTACTATTAAAAAAGTTTATTTTTAAATATAAGATCAAAAAAAAACTACTTACAAAGGTTTTTTGCAATTTAGGTCACTTGATCCAAATGTTTTTTGAATTATGTCCCTATTAAAGTAATGAATAAATAATTATGCCCCTTCAAAAGGGACATAATTAATCTGCAAAATTTTATATGCTAAATATTTTAGGGACCCATCTTTAATTGTAGGATCCAACTCCTTGAAGATTCAGATAATAATAGTTGTACAATAGTTTCTTAGATATATCTAGTCTTTGCTATTAACAAGTAAACAATATCACATTTGGTAATAATGGCCATATCAATCTTTTAAAAAAAGTAAACCATCCAGCCTTTTTTTTGAATACCATGGAAGAGAAAACTTTTCAAAGTCCATATCTTGAAAGAAGTTGTCACTTCTTAATAGTAAATAAAAAAAGAGAAGTCTACTAACCAGAGGAGTAATAAAATAAAATGGTATTTCAAAAAAGAAAGAGTGGCTTGGAAAGAAAAAATCTTTAAGAGAAAGAGAAAATTTTATTTCAGCAGAAAAAGGAAAAACAGAAAGAAAAAGAGATAATTTGAAAAAAAAGATTTATAGAATAGAAAGAAAAAATAAAGGGAGAGAAAGAAAAACAGGGAAAAACAAGGAATAAAAAAAGGGAAAGAGGCAAAGAAAAAAGTAAACAACTTAAAAGTTTTCTAAAAAAAAATTTTTTTAAGTATTTGAAGGGGAATTGGAAAAAATTTTTTTTTACAAATAACAATTTATTATTATGATCAAATCAATATTACAGATAGGATTGTTTATTCATTTTTTTTTATTGAGTTGTTCTACTTCTATTTACATTACTGGAGACATATATAATTATTTATTGTTATATTATATAAATAATCCCAAACTCAATAGACTTTGATATATATTATTGATATACTGTATAATAAATATATAGTATTATTGTGTTATATAAAATTCTTTATTTTTCTTATAACAATAGATAAAAATAATATTAATTACTATTTTAAGCAAAAATAAAATATAAACTTTGTTCAATAATATATTTAATATTATTTTAATTAATATTTATTTAAATTAATATTAGTTATTATATAAAAAATTTTTGATATAATATTGTATAAATAGTTTATAATAATTTATAAATAACTAAATTATTGCAAGTGTTATGAAAAAATATTTGTATAATTATATAAATTGATGTTATAATGATCACAAATCTCTCAAATCTGAGTTATATTTATTATAGTTATTTTATTTATTTATTTAATTTTTTAATGTTTTTTTTTATTATAGTTAGAATAATTATTATAATTTATGAACTTTGCACTGAAAACATCCAGTATATCTTCAAGTGACCTGAAGTCTTAGAAGAGGCCAATCAAATTATAAATAATATCAATCAAATTCTTCATCCAAATAACAATCTCAAACTGATTTCTTACATATGGCAAGTTATAGAACTGTTATGTAGCATGACTGATAGAATCTTCTTAACAACAGACACTATCAACTGGGTCAATATATCAATTGAATGCCAAACCCAATTATATAACTCAATTTGGAAATCACAATATAACACTATCAACATCTTACTTCTCATAGGTATCAAATAGAAATCAAGTGAATCACCAAATACCACCAACCTAGCCAAATCAAAAAGAAATTACTCTGCCTTGAGCAAAAGCACACACTTTAATGATATCCAAAACGAAATCATCATAGATTTATTAACAATTGTCACTAACTCTTTTATTTAATATAATTATAATTATAACAAATATATTTAAAAATTAATATTATCTATTCCAAATACCATTCCCCTTAATACTAAATAGGTATTATAGCTACTTGGTGTCATATAACAAGATATATTGCTTTAAACTTTCTTTTTAATATTAGTTATATGGTTACTGTAGGCAAGCTAGCATTTAACTCATTGTACCAACATATGAGGGATATTGTTTCTTTCACAATGTATATCTTGTTTTATACAAATAAAATAAAGAAATGATATTTATCTACTTTAAAAAATAATAATAATTATTATTATAATTTTGTTATGAGAATAGCATGTATCACTAGTTGAAATCCGATTATTTAGCAATATGCCACTTGTTAATTATTCAGCATACAATAAATAATTCAGCAAGTATTCATCAAACATTTGTCAACAATTTGATAATTATTGTCAAATTGAAATATGAAGAATTATTGATGAATGTTTGACAAATGCTTACTGAATTATTTATTATATGCCAAATAATTGATGAGTGGCATACTGCTGAATAATCAGATTTCAACTAGTATATATAAATAAATGGCCAAATCTTTAATAATTTTTTCACTTTTGTAACAGAAACCTATGAAAGTTTGAATATTTGTTTAAATAATTATTTATTAATAAATTATTAGGTTTATTTTATAGTATTAAAGAGAAAAACCAAGATTAAATTATTATGCCTCAATCTTAAAATCTTAGTTAATAGAGAGTATTAAATATTATCTTACAATAGTAATAGATTTATTGGATATATTGTAGTTTAAAAAGTTTTTTATTAATAAAGTTATTAGGTTTGTTTTAATAAGAGAAACTGTTAAGAATATCTTAATTAAGCTAACTATTAAAAATATTATAATTTGAAAATCATTAAAAAATTATTGGTTGAAATATTGTAGTTATTGTTAAAAACAAATACAAGTTTTTAAATTAGGTTATCAAATTTTGATTAATTATTAAATATTTGTTATTTATTTAAAGAGATAGAATTGCTATTGGTTATTAATATTAATTAAGATTTTAAAGATTGTGGATTGATATAACATTGTACATTGTATATTAAATAGAAAAAAATTTAGAGAATTTGATTAAAACAAGCAAAAAATCCAATAATATTGTTTGAGTAGTATTAAGAATTAACAAAACAAAGTTAAAAAGAGAGAATACCATATATATTTTAACATGTAACCAAAGAATAAGTAAGAATTACAAACTTGCTTAATTCTTGACTAAGGGCCCCATTCTGATACAACAGCAGTCCTTAAAATTCTTATGCCCTTGAGCTTATAACACATAATTATATAAAAGAGCAAGTGAAAAATACTTGAAATAAAATTATAATAAAAAGAAATTTTCAAAAAATCAGTGTGAAATATGAAAGTATTTTTATTCCAGTATATTACTTTTTATTAAATATTTTAATTAAAAAATATCAAAAAGTTATAAAATATTTAATTTTATAGATATTTAAATACTGCGACTTACACTACGTGGGTTTTATCACCTGGTTTTAATACCATAAGCCTTACGTTTATTAGATTAGTCACGGGCAATTGATGATTATTAACTACGTAGTTACACTTGTAAAGTGACTTATCTTTTGTACTGGTACTGCAAATACTAGTTTTAGTAGTGTTGGTTTAAAAATAAGGACCAATATAAGCGCAAGTGCAAGTGCAAACTCTGTCGCCACTGCGTAAGTATATATGGGCAATTGTTGCTGCTTATATTATTTTCGATAAATTTCGTCGATATTCTTAGCAGGAATAATGTCGAACTGTAACTATTATCGAAACTTGTGGTGGGATAAGGGAGAATTTGATGAAAAAGCAAAGTGGGAAGAAGTAGCGTAAGTTTACTTGTTTGATGTTTATATTTTTGAGTCGGTTACTAATATAAATTGTTTAATTAAGTTTGCCGTATGTACTTGCTACAGACTTCACTATAGAAGAATATGAACAACGTACAGAAATGTTTTCCATTCATAGGTGTTAGGAGTGGTCGAATGGAGAGGTCATAAACTATGAATTTCCTTCTAAACCACATGAAGTTTGTATCGGAGAAATTGTTAATATTATAAATAAAAGTTGCGGTAATGTTGACGAAACAAATGCAAAAATCTTTAGCATTGGTTCTACTTGTAAGTATTAATATTGTAACGTATTTCTCTTTTAGCGGCATCGTGCTGATTTTTATTACTTAAAGAAACACGTGGCATAACCCGTGGAAAAGTGGCCGACGCATCATTTCGTCCGAAAAAACAAGCTATAACTTCACCAAATGGAAGCGATGAAAATGTACTTTCTGTACTTATTGTTTTTAATTCTTTAAAGCTAGTATTAAATATAGCTATTTTATTTAGAATTTTCCTTGGCCAAATTTAGTTGTAGAGGTGGCTTATACCGAAACCTTGGATCACGTCGAAGAATCGTTGCACTATTGGTTAAGTCCTGGTCGCGCTCATGATTGTATTATTGTAAAAATCGATCCAGTTCCTCAAGGCCAAGTACCGGTCCGTATGAGGGTAAGGTTATATTTATACTGCATAAAATAATGTTATTTTTTAAAAATTTTACTATTTAAATTTATTGTAGGCTTGGCATTACTGTGTCTCAGCAGGTAGAGGAACGAGAAATACAGTTCCTCTTGTGACTCTTGTGACTACAGTAATGGTAGACTATAGTGATTCGCTTTTCTGTTTACATTTTAAAAATATCTAATATACAGCATACAGTATATAATGATAGTTTGAATTTGGAACCAAAGATGGCACTGGATCACCATTGAATATCTTGCAAGGTCAATGCATTGTAAACATTTCACTTAATTGTCTTTATAATAATGTGAAGCCCCCTATTAAAATACCCGAAATATCTCACATGATTCTATTTCAATTGACTTCTTTTTTGTTCAAAATGCACTCACCGAAGTATGACATTTATTAAATATTACACAATATTAGTGACTCAGTTTTAGTAAGTTTTTTATGCTGTTTAACTCTGTTTACTATTTTATCTTTTAACATGTACAATGTATGCTGCATGCTGGTGTTTATATTAATAAAAAACAATGTATACTTTACTAAGAATTTTTTACCTACATTGGGCTCGTGATTTTAACTGCTGTATATTTGTGTCAAAATCTCTCTGATTTAAAATTTAGTAAATATTTACTTTCCAAAGTAAATATTTAATCAATCTATTTTCAATAGTTGACTAAAAAATAATTAACATTGATAATTATAAATATCTTCATGTTATTTATTTTTTATCAGTATATACAGTATTCAAAAAATAAGCTCATTAGTTAAAAGCATATTGTAAATACATCCATCAAGTGCACAGTTTATAATTTGTAAAATATTTAATAATTTCATTAGTAATGGCGACTTTGACTTGACTTGAAATGTTTAGAGATATAATTTTCCGTGATAACTCGGGATTTAATATAAACGAATAATTTTTAAATCATGATCAATTCCTTAATAACCAAACTATCTTGACATGATCTTTGCTACCTGTAGTTTATTATTATTTATTATTTTTTTATAACTTTTTTTTGTATATCTACCTAATATACATTATTGTAGCAAATCAGCTTAAATAGAGATGTTAAAGATAGAATGTTTGCATGAATTTTAAAAAAAATGACAACAAATAATGTAAAAAAATTGTTCTTAACAAGACAAAGAATCACCAGGCTCGGATTTAATTTTTAAAAAAGTCTGCACCTTATCATAGCATTCATTTTAAAAAAATTTGTTCTTAACAAGACAAAGAATCACCAGACTCGGATTTAATTATTAAAAAAGCCTGCACCTTATCATAGCATTCATTTTAAAAAAAATTTCGCTACAGTTTGTAATAAAGCCAAGAATGAAAAATTATACATAATCATCATTATTTTGATTAACAAGCTGTTGCGCGTGCAATTAAATATTCTATCTGATACAGCACACAAAACAATATATTATGAGTTATGGCAAAAGAAATGTTTTTTAATATTGATTTCTCAAGATAGAACAAGCTTTTACCAAATACAGGGGAACCAATAAAATATTAACAAAATATAAATTCATAACAAAGTACACTACAATATTATAAATAAATATATTTATATTATAAAAATTATTTTTTTAAAAAAAAAACAGCTCAATCGAACTGATTGTACAAAACAAAATCTAGATCAAGTAAAAGAGAAATGTATAATCATATAATTGTAAATATTAGTTTTGAATCAGAAAATCTCTAGCTCAGTAATTATATAGTATGCCTATTGTTATAAATACATAAAATATAAAGGAACATTCAATGTTTCGATACATTGTAAAAAAATTGCATAAAATAATATTGTTAGCAGAGAAAGGTAAATGAAATGGCATGCAATGCGTAATTTGATGTTTAAGATCATGAATCTGCTGAGAATAAACACAGCAACAGTCTAAATATGTTTTGCTTCATAACATTAAATTAGCTGACATATTTCGGATAATATGAATACTGATAAATTCACACATAGAGCAGTAGATAAACAACATTAAATATGTAGAGAAAAACACCCAGTTAAGAAGAAAGCCTTACCTTCTACTCCACCAATTACTTGGGATTGGCTCAGGGACAGACTTGTAAGTAATGGTAACCGTATTCAATATATACAGAGTTTGTCATTTGTTCGCTTTAAATTATATAGTTTCTTGTCACATGCATTTAATTATATTTAACAAAGTTTTTTTTCTGCTTAACGAAAATTTATCGATTCTTTAAATTAAATATTAGATACTTATCGGTCATATCAAAACCTTATTTAATTCACATTATAAATTAATACATCAATGTTATAAAATTAATTAGACTTCAAGATTATTCAATCAAGATTTATGAACGTTCAGGTTCTTTAGTTCCACCTGCAATTCGCAAAAGTTCGCTTTCTCTCTCTCTTCGGCTTCTTAACACATAGGCATACGCAAAAATAACTGCCATCAATATTAGTAATGCCAATGGGACACTTATAGCTATTATCAGTTTCTGACGTTGGGTGAGACCGGATTCAGGAGCACTGGTCGAATTTGATGGCGCGGTGAATGAATTGATCCAAGAATAACTTGTAGTATTAAGAATATACATCTTTGTATTCAGCGTGGTATCATTTATATTTCCTTGCGGATTTGGGACGTAGCCTATTTTATAAAAAAATTTGGAATTTTTTTATTAATTTGCGGAAAAAGGAACGGTTTTATGAGGTACTGTGTCTATTACCGTACCAAATGTAACAATCATTTGATCACCATATAAATTTGCTGAATGGTAAGATAATGGAGGAGGATCGTAGGGACCAGTTGAGGCAGTCGGAATATACCAGTTAAAGGGCGAAGTCGTTGTGTCCAATACCACAAGATTCGGTGTAGCAGAGTTGTTGTAATATTCTCCCCCGAAAACTACTATTTGACCATTATTTGCTTTGATATTGATAAAGTTTGTGTGAGTACTAGATTAATAACATAAAATACCCAAAATTTTGACAAGTTTGCATACTTAACACGGCACTATGAAATGCGCGTGGGCCAGGTACAATACCAGTAGTATTCTTTATTTGAATGGTGCGAGGAAAACGGATTAGATATAAAAAAATCGATTTTTTTTTTGCATTTTTTTTTTACTTACCATCGAAGACCAGGTTAGCAGTCTAGTATCAAACAGCCAAATCTAATTATATGATAAAACACATACACAGATATTGTATTACTAATGTCTTAATGCAATGTGAAGTGCAATATCACTTATAAATCATACTTGTATTAAATTGGCCGTCGTAAAAATGTTTTCGCTGTCTTCCCTTCCCCCGATATAAACGATATTACCATTTGATAAAAGTGTTGCGGTGTAATCTATTCTCTTTTTAGGAAAACTTGAAGTTGGGGTAATAGTTGTCCAAACGCCTTTTTTAATGTCCAGGATGACCATATCGTTGAACATTATACCAGTAAAACTGGTAGCATTGGTCACCATTGCCCCACCAAAGATATATGCAAACCCGGACTCAACAACCGCACTCATTTCCAGACGCTGTGATAGTGTATCATTGCCACCCAATTTAGGCTTGCTCCATTCTTTGTTAGTAGAATTAAACATAAACACAGTCGTACTAAAATCTGCTACGTGTGTATTAGAGTTTTGCAAATAACCACCAACTAGGTAGAAAGTGGAATTGTCAATAATGACAGTAGTGGGGAGAAAAACGGAAATCGGAATATTTACTTCCGTTACCCAAGGTGGAGAGTCGGTCTGAAACGAATTGGACAAGTCCAGATAAAAAAAATCATTTAAGCCTTGCAACAAAATTTTTCCCTCTCCACCGCCATAGTAAATTCTAGTGTCTAGTAAAATTGATGCTTGACCAGTTCTTGCATCTGGGGTGAAACCAATGACTCTAAGAGTAAAAAATGAAATTATAAAAATTAAGAATCTTCTATACCGCATATTTTTTTTTTTTATTAAACGGTAGGTGCATATAAAGGTACCTATCTGTGTATTTATAGGAAGACTTAAACAACTAATCTGTATGGCAATTGTGAGATGGCAATTGTGAGATGTTGCACAATTATGCAAAACCAAAATTTTCTTAACCATTCGTGATCAGAAGAATAAAAGTTCGTAGCCGTTGACTTTCCTCCAGAAAAAACCTATTATGGGAACATTACAACATCATTTCAGATTAGCTATGAGAGGAATCGAGAAAAACTCCAAGTGATATGACATAGGTTCGTACGGTATACTGTATTGCTATCGTGATTAGCGTAATAAAGTACAGCTTAATAAGGAACGTACATTCGTGTAACGATTGCACAATTTTAAAATAGTGCTTGTTTCAAACTGGTTTAGCGCTTTATTGTTTTTAACTTGGAATTCAAATCCATAATTAATAGAGTAATTGGAAAAGAAAAAATACAGTGATAATAATAATAATTTTTTTTGGGGGAGATCAACCCAATACGGTATTGAGTAATGTAACATCTGAAACGATAGAATTCAAAAAATTTGCATGAGACTGAAATATAACATTAATGACAACTAGGACTAGCTGTTACGGTTATATCATGAACCAAAGTAGAATACACGTATCTGGTCATTACAACAACCGGTGCTATAAAACTTGCTTCTATAGAAACCTTCGTTGTAAAGTTATTTGGGTTTTGTATTATAAGGCAGAGGATAAGCTCACCAGAGTAATCGACACCAGAAGAGCTACAATTAGTTACGGGAGTCACACACGAAGGCTCTTTGTAGTAATAATATTCATCAGGTAGACTTGTATTAAAGTATACAGGCAGTTGAGTGTTATTCATTACGAGTACTAATAGCCCGCCGTTGGAATTTTGAAAGATAGGAGATACGTAGGATTGTTTGATTGTACCGAAATCAGAACTTGGTATTGAATGATTGGAAGCTACCGAAGCCGTGTATGCTTATATGTGAATTAAGAATAAATGTTATTATGAGAAGAAAAATGCCTGTAAACGTGCAAAATCAAAATGAATTTTGCGTACTTAAAGTAATCACCGTGCCAGGGCTACAAGCATACCAACTGTCTCCATAGTCTAAGCTTGCAATACCATGATAGTAGTATTGTGCATTGCATAAATTTGTCTGTTAGGATTAAAAAATGTCAGCTGGTTATTTCGAATGAATTGTTGAGAATCAATGCAAGGTTCTTACACCGAACGGCAAAAATAACAAAAATAATATTAGCAAAAATCTGTGGAAATTATTTAGAGACATGACAAGATGATTGATTTTGTAATTCGTTTTGTCTTTGAAATAAACAAAAGAAGACATCCTGAAAAAAAAGTAATTTTTTTATCTATGATAAGTAACACAACAGTCCTCAACTCCTGACTTTTAACTAAAAATATCCTTTTAAAAGAGTGGCGACGGAAAGTATATTCCACAAAGTCATTAATCTGGTTACCTTTGTTCATGAATCGGATGAAAATTATTTATTTACGGGTGACATGCAAGCACAGTATTGTACACGTACGTAATGCATACCAGGTTAGATAATCCTTATCTCTGAAATCGTCAGTCGATTTTCGTTGAAACCTCTTTATGGAAGCAAGTACTTTATCGTAAAAATTGAACACCTAATACAGTAATCTGATTACAGTATCAAATAAAATTTTTCGACCATTTGTCCAGTGCAATTTGACTCTTCTTTCCAACTTGTCGTATACTGTATCTCGTGAAATAAATTTAGGATCTGTTGATTTTTTTTAACATGCATTCAACCAATTCTCTCATCTCCCGAAAACTGGTCCTTGTATTTGTTTTCGTATTCTTGCTATATGGTGTAAGAATTTTTCGTTTTTTAAAAAATTTCAAAGATTCAATTAATGCAACTTTGCTTTATACATTAGATTCAATTAACCTATGCGCAGAGTAGTTCAGTAAGTTAATTCTGATGCGTATTCGTTTCCAAGCATGGTACTTAAAATAATGATACATCTAAAATTCCCTTCAATACGCTCGCAAAGTCAACATTTAAAATTACGACACCTACTACGTCCATCGTCGTTTACACATCCGTTGTAAACAGCTACAGAACTGTGACGGTTACCCCAAGTTGCACAAAGAGTGAAGGAATCTCGAATACCGCAATAAATTTTCGTCATTTTATTTTCGCAGCGTTATCTTGCATTTTTTTTACCTTCTGTGGGGCAACAACTTGCTTATTTTAAGAAAATCAATTCCACCATTATTAATTTAATATTTCATATTTACACTCCGATTTTCTTTAAATGATACGTGGTTTTATTATTCTTAATTTCTTACACGTGTTAAGTAATATGGTTGTCGTTAAAAAGACGAATAATAGTATTTATTAAAGATATTAATTGCGTTGCATGGCAACCATGATTATTACAATTTCTTTTTAAAAGTCTATTCTCGAAATACGAATGCTGCTCTCTTGATAGTTATAATGGATTTTGTAAAATTTATATGCTTTTCAACTTATCAAGGAATCGCTTGGATCCACGAAAAACTTCCGGTATCCAGGATATATGAATTTTGGTTTCTGTTTGAGGTGGATCTATATTTATCGGGAATAAACCCTAATTTTAAATCGCGCAGTGGTTTTAGTGTAAAAGATACGTATATGGGAAGTAAAAGTGAACTAAACAATAGTGCACTTACCAAATGCGATAATAATATAATTGCCGTATAAATTTGCTGAGTGTTGTGCCAAAGGTGGAGGGCTATAAGGGCTAGATGAATTGTTCGGAATATACCAGTTATACGAAGAAGTACTCAACACAGCAAGAGTGGGACCGTCAACAGCCGTAAAATCTTCGGTAGCCCCTCCATAGACGACTATTTGATCATCTTTGACTTTGAACGAAAATCAAAATTTTTTAAGATGCAGCGCGACAAAAAAAATCTTTAAATAAATTTAATAAGGCGTACTTACTTAATACGGCCGTGTGATACGAACGCTTTCCCATGTCGACGCCTGTGGTACTCTTTATTTAAAAAGGAATTTGAATTAATTATTTGCATTAAATATAAACACGCAATACAGTATATCATCTACACCGTAAAACATTCACCTTCAAAGACCAACTTGAACTTTTAGTGTCAAACAGATGAATCTAGTTATCAATTCTGACGTTAGCCTCTCTTTAAGCGAGCACTTAATCAAACTCATCAAAAAACAAGCATTACTTGGTTCAAACTGGACGTCGTTGTGTTCGAACCGGTAGTATACACTCCTCCTCCAATGTAAACGATGATACCACTCGACAAAAGTGTTGCAGTGTAATCGCCCAGCACATCAGGATAATCAGAAGTTGGACTAATGTTCGACCAACTACTTTTTGCAATATCAAAGATATTCATGTCATTATAATAAACATAATAATCATTTCCGGTCTGTACACATCCACCAAAAACATATGTTTTTCCTGAACTATCCACCACAGCTTTAGCATCTTGACGTGCCTTTGGTATACTGCCGCTTGTACTTGGGTTATCCCATTTAAGAGTGGTGGGGTTATATGTATACACAGATGCGCTGAAATTTACATCTTGTTTTTGAGGATCTATAAAGTAGCCACCAGTTATGTATATAGTCGAATTATCGAGGGGATCAACAAATGCGTTGGTATATGAAAAAGATATAGGTGCATTGGTCAGCGATACCCATTCAAATGTGGTCAAGTCGAGGTAAAAAAAATCATTTAGATATTGTGTCGAACGGACTCCACCACTATAATAGAGTTTATTGCCAATTAGAAATGACACCTGGCTATATCTTGCTGGTGGCGTAAAAGCAACACCGGTGACCAGTGATATAAGGAAAATAGAATAGAACAGTAAGGAAATAGAGTATCGCATATTTTTTTTGGATCTATTTACTTATTTTGAGAAGAGAAATTTCGTGTATCATATAATATATAACGTATTTATAATGGGTTGAAATGTTTGTAACTTATTAGAAACGCCAACACTCTCCGATTCGGACTGCAGAATGTGGCGGAACGAGAGGAAAATTGGATTATTTTTCATTGTGTGACTCTTTGTATAACTGGACTTATCTATATATCACGGTATGTGCTTCAATGGCACAAAATTATAGAGCGATTAATGCAATTCAAAGTCTCGCACACTTTAATCACAAAAAAAGAATAATAGACGTTTCGAAATCGTAAACATTTACCATTATAATATTACTTATTTTAGAACTGTTTGGTTCACGTTCAATTTGATTTCCTTGGCATGGATTACAAGTGGGGTTTCATTAATTTCTTCCACTTACGTTTTTCTCATCCGTAATGAGATTATCATGTACACACATATTTGGTCAACTTCCAAAATTATTACTATATTTGTCCATATTTGGATGAGATCCTTGTAACGCATTATCTTTATTCGGATCGATCAATGTGCAGCAAACAAACAGAAAATCATTCTCATTAGGCGTAGTAGTTTACTGTCATTAGGCGCAGTAATATGTTCATATTAGGCTTATCGTGCTTATTTAGGCTAATCCGCCCACATTTGTTCACGAATTAAAAATTTTGCGAATTTCGCCTCTTTGACTTTTAATACAGTAATTGATCGTGTGATTTTTTTAAAAAATTTTTTATTTTAAAATCTCATATGTAAATTTTTTTGTAATGCATTTGCCACATTTTTTCGAATTTTTAATTCCAATATTTTTCTGTGATGATTTTTCTTAGCATAAATAACGTATAATTAATCAATCATTAATTATTGCGATCAACAAAATTTTTCGATTGAATATTTTTTCAAAAATATGATCAAAAATGATTTCGCCTATTAAAATAACACGTGGTGCCTTTATCTGATTTTTGGTATTAAAGTTTTTTTAGAATTTTTCAAGATTTTTTTAAATTGGCAAATTGATATTGTATAAAATTACATGAACATAAAATATCATTTTATTAATTTATTTTATTTAGTCATTCATTAAATAAAGAAATGATATTTACCTATGAAAAACTAAGGCCAATTAACTTTTCTTAATGAAATATTTAATAAAAATTTTCAAAAGAATAATTGTTTAGGATTTAATCTATCTTACGGGTTATTGGTAGTATCAATTTATGCAATATTTGGTTTAACAAATGTTTTTAATCTGCTCACTATTATTATTAGAAGTGAGGAGTGCCGCAAAAAATAGAAAAGGCGGGGCACAACGCATTTGAGCCTAATAACAATAAACATTCTATACCTTATTGAGATAATAAATAAACATGTGATCAGTGTGAAAAGTAATGTCTTAACTTAGGGGAATTCTAGGATTAATACTCATTCTTGTGCGATAATTGATTAACTATAGCGACAAAATCTTATATCTGAAGGGTGACTTTTATCTATTGTGACGGGTAATCGGCGAGTCTGTCGCTACCGAGAGCAGAATTTACGTAACTGTCACGTTAGTTTGACAATCAAACCTCAAAGAGGCAAATTTAACTTGACCAAATTCCCTGTCTTTATTTGATACTTTTCTTTTGCCTTTTATATACAGTATACCTTCCCATTATTTGTCACGTCATTAATTAACCATTATCATCACAGGTTGATGTTTCGCGATAATCTGGTTGATAATAGTCACGTGATTACATTCGCGTCTCGATCGTTTGTTTTTACCTCTTACACAATTACTATGTTCGAATTTATATTTATGCAAAAATTTTTCAAGCCTATTATTAAAATTTAATAAAATTTTGCAATAAATTTATTTGTTTATCTAATAAGAAGATGCGTCTTTTCTCATAAACAATTATTAAAAGTTTTATAGGCGTTAACACAATCTATATGATATATTTATCTATAAAATTAAAAGTCTTCTAAAATTATTTGTAATGTATAAATAGTACGAATAATCGATACCATGAAGGATTGGAATTGTTGATAAAGTATTTCTAGTTGCGAATGGGTCAGATAATGTAATCAAAGAGTGGAGATTGATAATCTAGATGCAGTTAGTATGATGATGGTGGTCGATTCGGTGATTTGTTTAGTCTTAACGGTAGACGTTTTTGTAATATTGCTGTGACGAATAGACTCGACGTGATTGTAGTGGATGGAGTTGATGTATCTGTAGGGGAAGTAGTTGCAGATACGCTGATAGCAGTTAATCCTTTGCTTTTATTATTTTTAATGTCAGATGTATTTATGGTTGACGAACTCGAAGAAGTTATGACGGATGAACTCGACTTGATTTTTGGAAGTTTGATAGTAATTATTGTAGTGGATGGACTTGACTTCCCTTTGGGGAGAGTAGTTGTAGGCAAGCTAGCTGTATCTATAGTATATATGATGGTAATAGGTAACTCAGTACTTTTCTTGGCTTTTATGGTTGCAATTGTTGACTCGGTAGTGCCAATAGTTTGCTCAGTAGAAGCAGTTAAACAGAAGCTATAGACTCAATAATAGTTGTTGCTTCGGTAATACTGGCAAATGAATTTGATGTGATTTGTTGACTAGAAGCCGTTAACTCTAGTAGTCGGCTCAGTTAAAGTTGTTAACTTGCTAACAATAGATAACTCAGTAGTGCTTGTAAATACATCCAAAGTGAATGAAGTTAGATTAGTGATGGCTGTTGGCTCGATTAAAATGGTTTATTCGGTAGAAGTTGTTGTGTCAGAAGTAGTAATTGACTCGAAAGTTCTAGTAAATGAACTTGCGAAAAAATCTGATGTAATTTGTTCAGCAAAAGTTGTTGAGTCGGAGGAGGTTGTAGCAGTTAACTCGAAAGTGCTGGTAAATAAACTCGGAAAAGAATCTGATGTAGTTTGTTCAAAAGAAGCTGTTAAGTCAGAGATAGTAGTTAAATAATAAGTGCTAGTAAATGGACTTGGGGAAGAATCTGATGTAGTTTGTTCGGTAGAAGTCGTTGAGTCAGAGGTAGTAGTTGACCCTATAATTATAATTGGCTCAGAAGTGCTAATAAGAACCTGTTGTAGTTTGTTCAGCAGACATTGTTGAGTAAGGGGTAGCGATGATAGTTGACTCGGAAGTGCTGGTAAATAAACTTGTGAGAAAATCTGATGTAGATTGTTCAGAAGAAGTGGTTAGTAGTTGACTCGGAAATGCCAGTAAATGGACTTATGAAAGAATCTGCAAAAAGTCACCGGCTCGGTAATAGCAGTGAATCCGTGGAAGTTATAAACTCGTTAGTAATGGTTGACTCAATAGTGCGGCTGAATGTAACTTCGTACTAAATATTGTAACACGTGAAAAAGTAGCGCGCCTTACACTGAATTCTGGGTTCCCCACGATATTGGGAAGAAAATAGTGGTATCGAACACAATAAGCGTGATAGAAAACTAGTGTGCGCCTGGAAAAGGGGAAATGTTAGAAGTAGAATCGCGATTACAATCGCAACGATTGCCACGTGACCGGGTCGCTCAAGGATCGATCATGGCACTATGGAATCGATTAATAGAATTATGTAATAAGAGTAGTGCGAAAATCAAATAACAATTGCTTCGACATGAGATTTTTATGATTTTTGCTTAATTTGAATTTATCATTTTTATTATGTAATGAGTGTGCAAGAGTGTATAAAAGAAAGAAGAAATTGAATAAAGGAAAAACATTCTAGTCTAGTCCAGTGTTAAAGTTTTTCAGCCAACATCAATTCCGCCACACCATAAATAAAACACTTACCATCGTTACGCGAATCCGAACTTTCCTTAGCGACAGACTCGCCGATCATCATTACAATATACTAAGTGTACCAAATATGCTAGTTGAGTCAGATGTGAATAAATTTGACGTGGATAATGAGATCGAATGTGATTTAAAATTAAATGTAAAGGGTAAATTCTATAGAACAGGTTTTGTTGAGCTAGTTTGCAACAATATAAACAGTTACTTCGGTATCAGCTGTAACAGTGACAGTAGTTGGCTCGGTATCAACTGTCACAGTGACAGTAGTTGACTCGATATCAGCTGTCACAGTGACAGTAATTGGCTCGGTATCAGCTGTCACAGTGACAGTAGTTGGCTCGGTTGTAGTTTGCTCGATATCGATTAACACAAGGATAGCCGTTGTCTCGATTATAGTTTGTTCGGTATCGATTGACACTGTGGTACCGGTTGTTTCGATTATAGGTTGCTCAGTGATATAAGTTGCCATGGTGGTACCAGTCAACTCGTTTATAGTTTGCTCAATGGTAGCAGTTGTCTCGGTTATAGTTTGTTCGGCATCGATTGACACAGTGGCATCAGCTGGTTCGGTAGTAGTTGACACAGTAAATTGCTCAGTAGAAACAATTAAAGTAACTTGCTCGCCAGAAGTTACAGATTCAGGCATAATAGTTGACTCGGTAGTGCCTGTAAAAGAACCTGAGGTGAATGAATTTGATGAAGCATCATTGGCGGGATTGGTTTGCTCGATGGAGTTAGTTTGCTCGGTAGAAATTTTTGAATCCGTGATGGCAATTAGCTCGATAGGGCTTGAGATTGTGGTGGTTATGAAAATTAAAAAGATAATATGTATATAAAATTTGAAAATATTGAGCCTCATGGTAAAATAATTGCGTAATTGCTGATTTTTTGATTTTTTTTTTTTGAAACTGTAATTAATCGAAAATTAAATTCAAGAAGAGCATAATTATATCATTTTCCAGTCTTTAATTAAAAACAATGCTAATTTTGGAAAATACATAATAAGTAACAATTCAACGTGCTACAATGTTTTGCCAAGAAAAAAAAAATTCATTTGGCTATAAACATGCATGTATGTGATGAATGTTTATACAATATCATTTTTTTTATTACTGTATACTGTATACTGGTAATTATTTTGTTATAAAATTTTAATTTGCAAACTCCAAACTTAATTAAACACGTGCGTAACGTTTAATGAAAATTTAATATTAATCATAATTAATGACCACTTATTATTTTATTATTTAACCTCGGTCTGTGGAGTATTTGATTATACGAGCTCAGTCTGCGTAGTGTCAAACAACAATAATTTATTTACAAGTATGTATCGTCTAATTACCGCCAATAAAAAATCTTTTGAAAATCTTAAGTCGGTTTATTCTAAATTTTAATTCATTGGTTGTTTTATTCTTAATTATAATAAATAAACTTTAATATAAAATTAAATTAGGAAAAAAATGAAAACAAGGATAAAGCACCGTATACTGGAAAAGGTTATTTTTTTAATGCATCCAATAATAAATTAAACTAAAATTAAAAAATGGCAATCAAAAATCGTTAATTACTGTATATTAATTAACAATAATTAATTATAAAGTGTTTAACCATAATAAAATATTTTTATGAGTATTATCTAGCCGAAACTTATTTTTAATGTAGGAACTATTTCGGCATTTTGTGTTACATTTCGACATAATTGACGAAACTTTGGGCTAGTGCTGAAAGATTTAGACCATGCCAAAATAATAACCAATTATATTAAAGAATTTTCAAGGTCACTTGTCAATTACTATCGTATTAGTGTTGATATCAATTATAATTAAATTTGTTAGTAATCGATTGGGAGCTAAAATCAATTGATTAATTAAATTGCAATCGATTATAAAGAATCAAATGATTACAACAAAGTGAAAATCCTTATAGCCAAACGTTGAGTATTAAAAAATTAATAATTTTCGATTTTAGATCGGGTCGAAGATCATCGAGTCAGGTTCGGGTTATATTTGATAAAATTTGATTGGTTTTCTAGAACACTTACTTTCAATTAATTTTTTTCGGAAACATTTATTTTTCTACTTGTTTCCTAATTATCCACACTATTTTAATTTCCCACTCATAATAATAAAAATACCAGTCGGAAATTCGCAAATATTTCAGATGATCTTCAGCCGAAACACATCGCGTCATCTCCACCCGTGAAAATCATATCTTATCATCTAAACTCCATGCAGTACACAATATCCGTCCGTGATGACCATGAAATACAAACACGGAAACGCCTTTCCCTAAATTCCATATCCTATGTATATTGAAATTAGAATTTTGATAAGAAACAATACTTCGTCACCTACGCTACGAATCAAATAAGATACGTACAATAACCATTCCATCAGAAGAAGTTGAAATTATTACTATCCACCCGGCACGGAAACTATAATGCAAGAATATATGTTGACAATTATTGAAATAATAAAATCACCAAAATCATTCATTTTGTTTGTTTTATCGGTTGACATCAAATTTCCGAGTTTGAAAATTTATGAATCATGATCTTATGATTATTAGAACCGACCTCAAGCAAAAAAGATTTTTCAGTTTCATCTGGTGAAAGAGAATAACTTAAAAAAGAGAACATTAATTGTATATATGGTTAAGGAAAAGAAACAAAGGTTTTTAAATATTTGAACCTAGAGGGCACCAATTAAGTTTACAGAATCAAGGATAACGTAGGTGAAAAAATCAAAGGTATGCTGGTATATATTTTGCACATAAAGCTGATCTTTCCTTATTTAAAAAATTGAGACTATAGAGCGAGTTCAATTATAAAGAATTTTAATCAAATATAATTTTGTCTAAAAAATTTGATTATAGTGTTATCGGTACACGGCAAGTCTGTCACTAATATGAACTAGGTCGTCGCATAACAATAGGTAAGTAGGGGTTTGTGCCGCTTGCATACCAAAGGCACACTTGTTAATAAACTCCCTTCTCTCTAGGTGCCGATCTAATCCTATACCACAAGCCGTTGTGGTCTCTCAAGATTCTATAAGCGGCAAACAATTGATCAGGGTAAGTTTATTAATTATTCAATATTTATCGTAACTCTCTATTTGACTAGTCAAAACCACATACTTATACCCGTCACAACACATATGCTAATCTACCATCGCGTCCTACAAATCCCCATTTAAACTATTTAAGCTTCTTGATGCAGAGTCCGATTGATCGCGCCATAGTGGCGATCCCAGCGACCCTACATTTTTCCCTGCTAACAATAGATAATGTGACTGTTTCAGAATTTATTTTTTAAAACCCAGACTAAAAATAAAACGGGTCGAACCTGAAATTATTACGTAAGCAAATGATCTGACCCAACCCATTAATATTACCTCTCTCGATTGTATTATGAATTATGTAATAGCTTATGACATTTTATCATTTTATATATTTTATTGTAATATTATATGCTGTAATAATAAGATTTTTTGCAATGTTTTGTAAAAATTGAATATGACATTTTATTATAAATTTAGTTTGAGTTTTTAGTATAAATCAATTATTTTCACTATATATTTTTTATATACAGTATATTTTTTTAGATTTAATCTTTTATACTTTGTGTTTTAAGCATTCTGTATTGAAATTGTCTAATAAAATCTTTCTTGATTAGATTATATATTTGATTTTTTATATTATTTTTTATATTATAATATTATATTTACAATATTAAATTTGTAACTTTATGGATTTTCTAAAGTTTTTTTGTTGGAATTTTTCATTATATAATTTTATTATTTCAAAAAATTTTATATTTAAAAATTTTGTTTGAGATGGTTTTTTCATTAATAAAATATATTGAAGGATTTACATTTTTTTTTTACAAACAGATATTAAACAGAATTTTATTTAAACAAATATTTACTATTATTATATAAACAATATCACAAAAGTAAATTAATTATAATTTATTGTAACAAAATTATTGATATCAATTATTACCATATAGATAAACCTGTATCAATAATATTAAGTACTGTAGCTAATGACTATTTAGAATAATAAGATTATTACTGGATAAAGATTTCTTTGTTAATATAATTATTTAAAAAGTTTAATAATTTAAGAATTGTTAAATATAATATTATTATTTCTATTAGGATTTATAGATTTAATACTAAGTATTTTTTTTATTATATTTTAGAAATTGGTAAAATTGTTAGACAAAATTTTATTTTCAAGCCTTGTATAAATTTTTGAATATTAATTGAAAAAGATTAAATATTAAATTAAATTTGAAAAAACTAAATATTAATTGAAAAAGATTAAATATTAAATTAAATTTGAAAAAACTAAATATTATTTATACTCAAAGTTAATAATAAAATCAAATATTATAATGCTTTTAAAGTTAAAATTCAATATAAGATTTTTGAATTTCAATTTCTTTTTATTAATCAAAAGTTTATTATAAATACAAATGTGTATATACAGTGCATTAAAAAAGTCTTTGGACAAATTTTGAAACATTATTTTTTGTCTATATACACTTTAATCAATAATTAACAAATTAAGATAAAAATTTAAATATATATATTTGAAAATATAAAGAATAAAGTTATGTAAGAAACTTTTTTAATTATATATATATTATAACAATATTATTGATCTTAAATTTTAAATATAAAAATTGATAAATAAAATTTTCAAAAATATTAGAATAAAAAATTATAAAAAATAAATAAAATTATTTTAATATAAGAATTTATTAAATAAAAACAAAAGAAATATAAAATATTTTTTTTGTAATTTTTTAATTAATTTAAAATTTTTATTTAAATAGTTTATTTTTTAAAAAAACAAAATTTTATATTAAAATTTTAATTTTTGACCATAATTTTATATATAAATTTATATATAAAAATAAGCTATTCTTTAATAATTTTTTTTTTGATTTAAATTAATTTTTTTAAATTAATTAATAAAATTTTTTTAGTATTTTGTTTATTAGATTATAAAAAATATATTTTTAAAGTTTTATTTTAATTAAATATATATTTATTAAATTACAATAAAAAAATATTGTTTAAAGACTTTCTTAACACACTGTATATTATAATAAAGACTAAAGTATTACTTGTTAATTTGAATTTAATTAAATATTAATTTATTAAAAATTTAAATTTGAAGATAAATAAAACCTTATGTTTTAACTAATTAAAATTTGTTAATTTTTTGTTTGTTTTGATAATAATTTTAAGTTTTGTAAAAATAACAAGTTTAGAACTAACAAAATAATCAAAAAATATATAGAAAATATTAATATAAAAGTTAATACTAATTGTATAACTATTATTAATTGATAATAAATTTCCAAATATTATAAAAAATTGATATATTAATTTTTAAAAAAATTAAATAAGAAAAAAAAAACTCTTTCCCAAACAAACTCGCATCTGAAAAAAATTACCAAAAAAGGAAACCAAAAATTTTTTCATCAAAAAAAACAGTAAAGGACCCTGGAGGGTCTTCCTCATCCTCCAAGGGTCAGCCCATCGAACCAACCCATACCCT